TATGTGGCCTGGAACTCTGTCAATGGGATCCATGTGGCTTCAGCCGATGGTAAGTTACACCATTCCACCAAAACTTCAAGAACTCCTTGATTGAAACGAGAGCGGAGGAGAGCTTTTGGTTGGGGGAACAGTTTGCCATCTTTCAGGGGTGGTAGGGGGGGTACTTGGTCCGGTGGAACCCTTGTAAATGGCTTCAGCAAGGAGATGTGGAAGACATCATGAATCCGGTTGGTCGCTGGCAGTTCCAGCTGGTAGGCCACACTGCCAATCCGTCGTAGAACCTTGAAGAGCCCATAGAACTTAGGGGACAGCTTCGGGGCAGCCCTGTGGCGCAAGGAGTGTTGCCGGTAGGGCTGGAGCTTTAACCAAACAAATTGTCCTGGATCGAACAACAGTTCCCGGTGGTGCTTGTCATAGGTGAGCTTCATGCGGAGTTGGGCCTGCTGTAAGTGAAGGTGGACGTCGGCTAGGAGGGCGTCGCGTTCTTGTAAGGAGTGATCAATTGCGTCCAAACAAGTAGAACCAAGCTCGTAGGACAGCAAGCGGGGAGGGTCCCGGCCATATACGACGCGAAAGGGAGTCATGCCAAGGGAAGAATGGTAGGCTGTGTTGTAACAGTACTCGGCCCAAGGGAGCCAATCCACCCACCGTCGCGGTTGATCGCCGATGAAACAACAAAGGTACATTTCGATGGTGCGGTTGACCACCTCTGTCTGATTGTTGGTCTGCGGTCGGTAAGCTGAAGAGTAGGCCAGGGTGGTGCCGTGCAGCCGGAATAACTCCTTCCAGAAGGCACTGGTGAAAACTGGGTCCCTATCGCTGACAATGGATTCTGGTAACCCATGTAAGCGAAAAATGTGTGAAGAAGGCGAGGGAAACTGAAGTGGCACTGTACGAGTGTGATAGAGGAATGAAGTGGGCGTATTTAGAGAAACGATCGACTACCCCGAAGAGAACTGATTTGCCACCTACCTTGGGTAGTCCTTCAATGAAGTCCATGGAGATGTCGACCCAGATCTGTGACGGGATGGAAAGGGGCTGAAGGAGGCCTGCTGGGTGTAGGTTTTCCCATTTATGCTGTTGGCATGTGGAGCATTTATGGACAAAATCTCGAATGGAATTTTTCATACCTCGCCAATGGAAATCAGTCCGGATGCGGTGTAGCGTTTTCTGAACGCCTTCATGGGTGGAGTTATGGATGCTGGTGATGATGGTGGAAATCAATGGAGAGTCGGACGGAAGATGGACCCGTCCCTTATATCGTACCAACCCGTCTTGAAGCGACCAATTGGGGTCGGCAGTGCCTGACTGGATCTTCTGGACCAAGGGTGACCATTCCGGAGATTGTGGTGCTGCCTTCTTAATGTCGTCAAATAGAGAGATCCGGGGTTGGGAAATGCCATACAGAGTCATCGCGTCTTCATCTCGCCTAGATAAGGCATCAGCTGCGCGATTGGAGGACCCCGCCTTGTACTCTACCTGGAAGTCGAACCCGAGCAGTTTGCTAACCCAATGCTGCTGAGGGGCAATGGTGAGACGTTGCTCTAACAGGTATTTAAGGCTGTAATGATCAGTTTTGACGACGAACGACCGCCCCCACAAATATGGTCTCTAGTGTTGGACGGCGCGGGTGAGGCCGATTAGTTCGCGCTCATAGGCTGGAAGCTTTAGATGCCGATCGGCCAGTCGGCGGCTGAAGAAAGCAATTGGGTGCCCTTGCTGCTGTAATACGGCGCCGATACCTACTCCGGAAGCATCGCACTCGACAGTAAACTCGAGGGCGAAATTAGGTAACTGCAGGACCGGGGTGGAGGACAAGGCAGTCCTTAGCGCTAGAAAAGCCTCATCTGCTGTGTCGTCCCAGCAGAAGGAATTTTTCTTTAACAGGTTGGTTAACGGTGCTGCCAACAATC